CCATGGAACATCTTGATTACGTTCCTTTGGAAAATAACATTTTTCTAAAAATTAATTTGCTTTTTAAAGATCATTTCCCAAGCCTACACTGCCATTCCACGGGAGTGGGGTGTGATGCTGCCAAACCAGATAATCCCCACCACGGAGTCTTGACAAGATCTGCTCCCAGGGCTTGGAAAGCAGAGCTGCGGGGGTTACTCATGGCCTGTGGGCTCAGGGAATTTAGACTAGCAATGTTGCCAGGATACTCTGGGCTGATTAGGAATTAATTTCAGATCCTCACTCCCATGATGAATTTTGTACACTTTCACATAGGTGTGATGTGGAATATATAAACACTACAGTGACATGTTAGGGGGAAAGGATTGGTGAAAGAACTGCGCACATCTGTCAGATTTTTATCTTTACCTTGAATTATTTTTGAATTAACCTTTCTTTTAATCTACAAGCTTCTTGCTTGAGGCAAAACAGTCTTTACTTTGCAAAACCATCTGCCTGGTTTCAAGACTTTCATGTCAATGGACAGACCTAGAATGAGGCACCATGTAGCAATAGGCAATTTGACAGGAGCTTTGACAAATTGGAGATAAATTACATGAACGTAAAGAACATACCATTGAGTGCTGAGTGATATACTAATTATATTTTTGTGCTTTATAAGTGAGAGACAGTTAAAATGGAAGACAAAGTCACCAGTCACACTAGTTGGGAGGTGCATTGAGAGCACTGCGTACTTCATATCAGATGTTCTGGAAGTTTGAGTCTGAAGCTTTCAGAAAGAATCAGGCCTTTATCAAGCTAAAACTTTGTGTGGAATTTTTTTTTTTAATACCTCAAACAGAAGAAATGAATGGAGAGTAAAGTAAGTTCTCTGTCAGGCAGTGGTATCTGCATAAGAAATGAAGTCTACTCCCATTGTTATTACCATCTCTTTTAACACTATTAATACTAAAATCAGCTAGCTTGTGCAGCAGTAAACTCCAGCCTTAAATCTAGTGCAAAATATGTCAGTTGTTCTTAATGTTTTCCATGGAATATCCTGAGTTGGAAAGGACCCCCAAGGATCACTGAAGTCCAACTCCTGGCCCTGCACAGGTCAGCCCCGAGAGTCACACCATGAGCCTGGGAGCACTGCCCAAACACTGTGTGTCTGAGGAGTGTGTGCTCTAGAACCCATTTCTGAAGGGTAGGGAAGGAGATGCGCTGTTTGCAGTGTTTATGGATTGTTACCAGAGTTAAACAGCAGACAAATCCCCCCTACTCCTTCTCCAGAACAAGGGGCTGTTGGTGGGATCACACAGCGCGGGTCGGTGTGAGCTGCCACGGGGGCTCTTGGGAATTCAGTAGGATGTCAGGAGTAGCAGGTACCAGACAGGAAGTGCCTGAACTGAGAAATTAAGGTTGCAATACAACTGTAAACAGAGCATGTTTATGCCATTCCCATTATCCATCCTTTCTAGCAGGGCAAGGCTTTTGTTCCGTTTGTCTTGCACGTTGCACAGCGAGGCCTCGCTCTGGAATAGGAGCTTCTGAGTACACATAAATAACAGTGTTCCTGTTCCTCACTGAGCAAATTTAACTAAGAATGCTTTCTTCAGAAATGCAATATGGAGTGAACAGACCATGAAAACTGTCACTGGGCTTCCTTGTGTAATCTATCAGGTTTTATGTGCTTGTTCCTATAGTACTGGGTTTAGCTATAACGTCTCACAGGGGCACTTTTCAAAGATACACCCTGTTTTTATTTGCAATTAGAACTGTTATCACTCTCCTTAAATAATGCATTTCACAATTTAAAGCAGACAGGGAAAGCTACACAAACATGAACTTAAATGTATCTCGACAACACTCCTGCAAGGAAGTTTAAAATTATGATATTGTTGTTACTTTCATTGCTAAATCAATGTACCAAATACAGTAATCAAATTTCAGACAGGGGTTACCAAAGGAGTTTTCAGTGAAAATTGCTTGCAGTGTTGGCATTCTAAGTTTGTTTATAATCTGCTAAGCAGTTGGCAAACGTTAAAAATACACCTATTTTTACGATGTCATCCAAATAGAATATTTCTACCGGGTCTTTTAAATTTCACAATTATTATGCTATTAATTTAGGAGAAGAGATGGTGGTGGAATAAAATGGAAAGGGAACGTAGACTCACTGCTAAGTGTTCTGTATTGCAGTCAAAATTCCATGTTGCAGTCAAGGTGGTACACAGATCCTTATCCAAAAGTTGCTAGGGACAAGGAGTGTTCTTTCACTGTTTGCATAGAGATTGGTGTTTTACCCACTGAGAAAAGTCAGAAATGATGTGTTTAGAAATGATGTGAGGATCAAAGGAGAAAACAACGAGTTGGAATCTTACCTGTCTGCTGGACACAATGAAGACCTTTGAAAAACCACTACATTTCCCAAAACTTTTGGGAAAGTGCAAATCTGGGTGTAAATAGTTTGAAGTGCTTCTTACCTGTCTTGATGACAAGTCCAGGTATAACCTTCAGTTAGAAGGGAGAGAATACAAACAGCAGAATTATTAAAATATGAATAAAATATCAGAGCCTAGGCTCATCTGTTCACAAGTATCTCAGCTTTGTTTAAAAAATTGATATTCTATTTAAATACATATTTTATAATATGTTGAGTCGGGGTCAAATTTTGTACTGCTTACCCAAACCTCATTTCCAGACTCAGAGTTTAGTAATGTTAAGCAGTTTTTTTTTTTTTAAATTTATTTTTTGACTTTAAAAAATATTTGGTGTTTGGCATGAAACTTCCCTCCTAAGGTTGGATGAAATATATTGAACTGATCAGTGTTGCCTTAAGGCAACATTTCAAATGCTATTTTGAAAAAGGTCCATAACAGCAGCCAGACCACACATATTTCAGTACACATAATTTATTGGTTTCCTTCCTCAGTAATTGCCCCTCGGATCTTACAGCTCCAGTGAAAAACCCTGGTGCTCTAATAGAGGTCACTCACTGCTTTCCATAGACTTCAGCTGAGTTAGTTTAAGCTATATTTACCTATTTTGCAAACAAATTAGGCACTGCTCAGTGCATGTTTATCTGCACTTACATAAATGGATCAATTAATAGAATAAGACCTCCCAGACATCCTGTTTTTCACAAAAATGTATCCTGACTTGCTGAAACATTCCTGTATTCTCAGCAACCAAAGCAGTCGAATCAGACAAATGAGCATGACTACCTTCAAAAGTAGAAGAAAAAAAAAGGAGTTGAAACAGAATCTGGACAAAATTCATACTGAAGTCAGTGAACTTTATTTTAGCAACTGCTAAGTAACAAGAATGTGGGGAAAAGGAGCTTAGGATTCCATCCCATATGTGCCAGGGAAATTTGTGTTTAATTATCGTGCTCAAACACTGCATTGCTAACAAACCTAGATTGCAGTGGATGGGAGTGGCAAACACCTGTCTGGTAGTTAAGCTTTTTTAAACTGCTTCCCTTTCACCCTTTTAATGTGATCACAGTGCTCTTATTTTCTCTGGCAACAGCATTCCCATGTAGATGTGCCTTTTGCTGCTGGGGGTTGTACTCGGGAACGAGTCTCTGTGCGTTGCCCTTCAGCCTGTCCCAGTGCTGGGAGCTGCTGTGGCCCCTCATTAGGCAAACCCGGCATCTGCTGGCCCCAGATGCCGATCACTGGGAGGGTTTTTTTTCTCGAGGTAGCATATGGACTTGAGCATCCCTGTGTGCTTTGCTGGTTCCTTCCTCTGTCTACTCCTTCACAAGAAGCTGATAAGAGTAATAATGTCATTTTCCCAGCGACTTCTTGTCCTGTTAGTCCCGTTTTGTGTGTGCCTGTCCACGCTTTCTTTATATTGATATTTTTGAATATATGGAGAGTTCTTTAGTAGTTGGAAATGTTCTGGAAAAAGAAAAACAAGTTCTCTGTAGCAAACCACACCTAGTAAAGGACGTTACTCCTCTCTTACAGCATCCATCTTTGGATATTGAATATGCACAATAGGGCACTCTCTGCTCTTTGTCATAACGCTGCATCAGTTTGTGCTGACTGGGAATGTAACCTGGAGAGAGCAAACTCTGGCAGCAGCTGGGAATAGCTAGGTGGGCTGACAGGCAATGCATGACTAAAGGAATTGATGTAAAAATTGCCCTGCTGATCTGAGTATGAAACAATACTCCAGCTATTATGCTGCTACATTAGTGGACTCACAGTAAAAGAATATGGCACACGTGTGAAAAAGTATTGTTGATTAATGCTGAAGTATGGTAGAGAGAAATTTTCCCAGAATAACTTGTTTGTTGGAAAGTTTTGCTGAGTTCAGGCTAATGCCTTTGGAGCTGCCGTCAGTGCCACTGCAGTGCTGTATTTCAACAACTCTCACTTTTGTTACAGCTGGGAACCTTTCATAGTTTCTTTGTCCTTAGGATGTCAGACATGAAAGGGAGGCAGTGTCATGCTGCTCATGAATTCTAGGTGCCTTGATCCTTGATCACTTTGTTAAATCATTAGAGGGAGGTCCCTCTGGGAATTATCAAAAGTCTCTGAAGAGTCACTTATGAAAATGAATGTACCTCTCACATAACATATATCACTTCCAATCCTGTCTCAAGTCAGGCTTCTCTCTGAAATGTTTCCGAATGTTAATCAGTAATCAGGGCACAGATTGGCACATGCTGCTGGGCTTTGAAGCTATTCCTATCCTATGATTTGTCACATCCTTAGTAGTACTTTGCATGATTTTCATACATATCCTATTAGACTTTCTTGCTTAAGGACTTTAGATTTCAGCAAAATACTTGACAGCACCCAAGTGTTGGACGTTCTCGATAGTTTCACATCAGCCAAATACAAGGTGCCACTTGACAGCTCCAGTTGACTGGAGGATGGAGAAGTGGGTTGTAACATCACTGCTGGGGAGCTTTTCCAAATGTCACTGCATATCTGTACTTCCCACACTGGATGCTCTTAGATTGTACCCCAGCTTTTCTTCCCACTTGCTTGCCAGGAGACATCCCAAGATTCTTTGCTGTGTGGGGCTCAGGACAGCTGCTGCCCCGGGGTGGGCAACCAGATTTCTTATGATGCACTGAATTGTCTTTAAATGAAAGGGTGTAAATCCTAAGAATGGTTTGATGTTACACCTGGTTGGTGTTCCTGTATAAGCACTGATGGCAATAATTATAACATATCTGTGCTCTCAACTCTGTTCTCAGCAACAAATCCAAAACACAGCTCCATACTAGTCTGAACAAAACTACTCTATCACAGCCCAAATCAACATAGTGTATTTTCAACTCCTTAAAGAAGTGTTTAAACACCTTTAAAATTAGAAAAATTTTTCTGGTCTAGTTATAGTCATTCATCCTGGGCACGTTGTCTGCAGATTGTTTTGGGTTGGGTTTGCTTTGGTTTTTTAATGGCTTTAAATTGACAGAGGGAAGGTTTAGTTGGTGAGGGCTCTGAACAAGCTGCTCTAGTGGAAGGTGACCCTGCCCATGGCATGGGGGTTGGAACTAGACGATCTTTAAGGTCTCTTCCAACCCAAGCTGTTCTATGATGTAAGAAATAAGTTGCCATCCAAATATAAATGAGGAAAAAAATTTTTAAAAAAAGTTCTTGTTGTAATTTCAGTGGTACATTTTTGAAATTTCAATTTTAGTAGCATTTTCACATTTGTTTTAGACTTTTATACCCATCTTTAATCACATACAAGTGAAGGAACAGTTGAGACTACCAGCTGTAGATTAGTGTTTGTGATGATTCTAACATAACTGAGAAATCAAATTAGTTTTTAGCAAAGTCTAAATTTTAGCAGTTTATCACTGTATTTACAGCAACTATTTACTCTCACTTGCTGTGTGTATGTATGCATGGGCTTTCAAAATATTTCTAGCAACAGTGACTGAACTTTTTGTTATTAGTATAACTGCCTGAAGTGAATTCCAAGTATCTTTACAAAGTGGTGGGGAAAACATTAAATGTTGTTAGATAGTGTTTGATTCTTTATAAAGTCAGGGGGAGAAGTAAAAACAGGAAAATTATTTTGAATTAATCCCTGTATCTATTTTAACATCTATCATGTGCCACTTGTTTATACCCACTGTCAAAACACCTGGAGAATTTCTCAATATTTTAAATCAATTTCTGTTGAGCTCTGCATTTACTGCCCACTGAACTGATCTGATCTAGCACATCCTGTGTTACTCTGCTCCTTTTGGCCCTTTGCTAGGAAAACCCTCTGATGGGTTCCTCTCTGTTCTGCCCCTGCAGGGATGTGCACGATTATTATAGAAAGAGCAAATATAGAAACACTTGCAGTGGGGTGAGTTGAGCTCTTCCTGAAGAGCACAGTTGCTTTATTTTTGGGCTGGGCTGGCCAGAAGCTGAAAGGGAACGTGTGTGGTACCATTTCCTATCGCAGTCAGATAAGGAGATTGCCATTCACAGTTGGATAAGAGGCATTTACTGAAGAAATTATTCTATAAGGAAATAACTAATGGGAAACAGACCTGCAGTGGACATAAGAAATATCCAAAGATGCTCTTGGGAGGAACTTTCAGCTATGCAATGCTAGCAGATACAATTATAGAGGATTGTGAAACCACATCTGCCAACTGAAATAACTGGCAGTGAACAAAAGATGATGAGTGAAAGAAAATAACCATTGGCATGATCGTGAAATGCATTATCTAGTCATTTCCAGCATCTGTAACAGAAAGCACATTCCTGTTTTATTTGTGGAAGCACAAACAAGGTTCAAATCTGATGGTACAGCAGTGAATAAATTTGTAAAGTTCGACACTATAACCTTACAATATTGTAAGCCATCTGAAAATCAGGTGTGTTTGTGTAGTGTCTAGAGCTGCAAAGAAAGATGCTTTGTGTACTCTGGAACAGGTTTCCATTTGTGTTTCTTTCTCTGGAGAATATACTGAGGAATGATGACTGGTGCATAACTGTGTGTCACTGGCTAAGCCTGGCCTGACCCTGTCAAACCATCAGGGTCACTTTGTTTGCTTGAAGAACCAGTTTCCTCACAGATTAAAAAACAACACACGAGCCTTCCAGTAAGACCTTCCCTACGAGCACACTGGTTTCCTTCCTGTCATAAATGACATTCTGTAGTCTGAGCTGAACAACAGCACTGGTAATGCAGGTCTTCCAGAAATCATGGAGAGATGGGGAACCCAACTTAAATTGCTTGCAGATGCAGTGACCTCCCTGGGCAGGTGGATTGGAGCAGCCCATGTATGACAAAAAAGAACTGGAGAAGGCCTAATTAGTTCATCCACCAGCCACCATGTCCAAGAATGGGAGCGCTGCTCTGAGTATTCTACCTGCAAGGGGGCCTGTCTTCTGTGAACTCCTTGCCACCAGCAGGCTGGCTAAGGCAGGATTTAAGCATGATTTATGACATCAGAAGCAAATACGTGCGAGGAAAAACAGGTTCTCTGCCAGGCTGGAGCTTAATCTCATGAGAGTGTCTGTCTTTCACAGAGGAGTGAAACACATGAGCAAGCTTTCCTAAATTACACACTAATCTACTTTTCAGTGACTCTAAAATTTATTACTGAAAGTACAAATAGCTGTCAGCTTGGAACTAATTAAAATGTTAGGATTAACCTAAGATGTGCGGTTGCCCAAGCTTTCAGCAGATGAGAAAGGCACAGAAGAAAGAAAATGGACATTTAACTGGTACTGTCCTAGAACAGAGTTTTCAATTTAAGTAAGAATATCTGATGACTTTAGTGAAGGAATGGATTTCTTATGCAGTAGTTAGGAGTTTGCAGAAATGTGTCATGTAATGTAACACCTTACCTGAAGTAATGATGTTCTTAGGAGATGGACTGGGAGATCTGATCCTTCAGATTTATAAAAGCAAATATAATTTATCCTATGCCATTTCTTACCAGCTGCAGGAGCTGAGCTTTGCTTCATCCCTACCCCGTAGACATGAAGTTATTTTATCTAATGGACTGTATTTATAAAAATAGAACTACACATCAATCTATAAAAATGGAAAAATTATTAGCACAGTCACCTCCATGTAAATAGTTAGGGTTGAGGGTGTTGCACAGTCTTGATTTGGACACTGTTGCACACAGGCACAGCACCAGACCTGGTATTTGTGCGTGGATCGTCGGCAGATCAGAGGCACTTCCATCTGGCTGGCAGCTCGGAGCTGCTGAGGCAGGGAACGTGGGGATGTGGAATACCCATCTCTGCCACAAGGATATGCAGGGGCTGGAATTGCGAAGCCCTTCTGCTTCCAGCTGCACACCCAGCTCTGATGTTTCTCAGGGGGGCCGTTAGGAACAATCTCCTGTCTTCAAACTGTTTCTCAGCCGGTTGGCCTGGTTTGCTTTTTCTTTCTCTCCTTAAATTCCTTAGGTCTAGCTCGTGTCTTCTACTTTCAAGAGGCTTCCTCCTCCACTGTACTTTGTCACTGGGAACACAGAAATCAGGAGCATGTGAGGAAAAGCTTCTGGCTTATTTTCCAGATCAGCAACTGAACCCAAGAGGAAAACACTCTGACTGCTGCAAATCAGCACATGAATCTTGGGGGAGTTTAGTAGAGTTTTTAACAGACTTGTAGAGAGAGGAGCAAATTTGTGATATCATGAGAGTTTGTAATGTGGCCAGAATTCATCCAACAGTCAAAGGAGCATCTGAGTCCAAACATTCAGTGTGGGAAGTTTTGGCTCAAATCACGAACTTCATTGTAATTTTAACCTTCTCAGTGAGTAAAGATTCAAGACACCTGAAAAGAAGCAGCTGTCAGTCCTACCTTCAATTCAGCGGGTTTTGCAGCTGGGGAGAAACTAGCATTGTACCTTTTAAATTAATTATTTTTTTAATTTGATGATTCAGTCCATGGACTGTTCAGTGCTTTTATCTCTGCAGTATGTAGCCATCACAATTTGCTTATATTAAACCAATATTTTTATATTTTAATTTTGAAAAGATTAGATGTTTATTCTCTGTTTGTTCTCAGTTTCTGCCTTGAAGTCATCATGCTTCATTGATAACATAATTTCTATGGAAAGTAACAAATAAAACATAATGGTTTCAAATGAAGACAAAAGCAGAGAAACAAATTAAATTCTTAAAATCAAAGGGCTTCCAAAAAATACATGCAAGAAATACAGAAAAAAATCTGGGATTTGTATAGAGAAGCATTCTAACAAAAATCCTTTCCCATTAAGTGTGAGTCTTAAATTCTCTGTACTAACTGATATGCCTGGATGCAGGTGGCAGAAAGGTAATTGGCTAATAACTTCTGAGCATCTGCAATGCATTTGAGAAAACTGGCACTCAGTCCTTGTTGGTCTGAGGGGCACTGTAAACAAAGTGAGACTCGGACATTTTTTCTGGAAGGATGGGCAGTTGAACTTCCCTTTCAACTCTTGCATTATTCCCACAATGGAACTATCATTCAGCCAGCCAGACACATTAACCAAGCAAGCCATAAATTCCACAAGATCTTGCAATTGTATTTTTCGGCTTTTTACTTCTTGTAGCCTTCTTAGAAGTTATTGCTCTTTCACTGGCATCTTCCCACGTATATAAAGGTTCTGTCAGCGTTGACCTTCAACATGGACTTTTCCCAGGTGCTTTCCATCACTTTCTGAAGTTCCTAAGCATATACACCATGGAGCCATCATCAATCAAACCCATGTCACTGTGCCCTGTTCCTATCTACTGCCTGGTGTCATCCTGACACAGAAAATTTTTCAAAAATATATATTTGACTTGCACTGGCCTGAGTTTTAAATTCATATCTAGAAAAATTCCTGGTATAAATTAACCATTGTGATAGTTGGCATTTCTGTGATGGAAGGATTTTGTCACCCCCAGCCACTCTCACTTTTCTGCTTTCTAGAAGAGAGGAGCCTGTTGACCAAATAGACCTTGTAGGGAAACAGCCTGTGCTTAGAGCTTCATCATGCTACCAAGCCTAGATCTGCTGTCACGTGGCTTCTGTGGACTCTGTTATGTGGCTGGGAGGGGAAGATTGTTGTGACCCTTCAACATATGTGAAACAATTGATTTCCTTTACTGTGTTACATGTCCAGGATGTCTAAGCAGTTTCCTACCAGGGCAAAATAAGATATATTAATATTAAAGCAGATAAATGTACTATACCCTTATTGCCAGTCTGCAAGGATCATGAGTCAGTCCATCAAAAAAAATCACAATATTGACTGAGGAGGCATGAGAGTGAAATACTGATAATTCTGTGAAGAAAAAGAGTTGATGCTGGGGGTAAAGTGGGAATATAGAGAGCCCCCAAAGGGAGACACAGCCTTCAGAAAGACATGCCCATCCACAGGGTGCCAGCTCCACTGTGCCTTCCCACCAGCTCTCAAGCACTCAAGTTCTTCCTTGGGTCTCTCTTCAAAATCCTGTTAGCTCCTTTCTTGCTTCCTTACTCCCTGCAGAGTGAGGGGAACTGGTAACTTAAACTCAGCTGAAGTTACGGGTTTAGTCCTGGTCAGTGCCCTGGGAGTGGCTGTCCTTTCCCTGTAACTTTGCTTGTGAGGAGCCCAAACCCTGCCGCGGTTGGGTTCTGAATAGCTGTCTCCACCCCCCAAAACGACTGTGGTGGTGGTGTTGTCCTTCCTTCTGCACTGCTCTTATGCAGTAACCTTGTGTTTAGAGCATTTCTCAAGCGTGGGAGGCCTGGCCTCAGATCCCATTTGTGTCTGAAAAAAATGCAGGATTTCATTTCTGAATGAGCTCTCTGACCTAGAAGTTGTTTTGGAAGGGAAAGGAGAATAATCTCACCTATCAGAACTTTTCACAGAGTGAGTGTGAATGGATGCCTGACTGTAGCCTTGCAGTAGAATACCTTAGTTCCCACTGATTCTTTGCTGATTTAATGACATTTTAGTGTGAAAAGTAAACCAGTCTTTGGGAGCATGTAGTGGGATACACCCCCCCATCACGGGTGAGTGTTGTCTGAGGCCTAGGGCTGAGAAACTTCCCTTTTCTTTCCTTTCCTCCCTCTTGCAACCAAATCGAGAGCTGCAAGTCCCTTCTCCCTGTTCTGTCACCGTAGAGTGTAAGTGCCTGGAGTACTTTGAGGCTTGTGCAGCTGCTTTCTGCTACCCAGACACTCAGCTGAGCACTTGTGGAGTAGAGTGGGAGTTGCAAGCACAGGCATAAGCAGTAATGCATCAGCAATAACTTATTAGAGCCCAACTCCTGTTGAGACGCTGGGGAAATCCACAACCAATTGGTTGTAAAAGGGAGGAGGAACAAAGTTAAACTCTCAATTCTTGCTGGAAAGGTGAGCTGATAAACTTTAGGCTAAACTAGAGTATTAGCACTACAATGGAACTATCAGCTTCCTATAAAACATTAGCATGACAAATTAGTGCTTTGATCGTGCGAGATATCACCGTATTCATTTGTTTAATTAAACAATCTAGGCTTCTCTTGGTGTGGGTCATTTTAAAAAATGTTAAAAATAAAATTAAACACATAATTAAGCTGACAAGAGATAAAGACCCTTGTGCAGCAAGTTGAAGGCAGTTAATTTATAAGGAGCCTGGTCCCTGAAGGCTGTGTAGTTTATTAAAGTTACTGAGGCAGAGATGTGATAAAATATTTTATGTAGTGCTTTAAAGGCTAAATTGCTCTGACACTTTTAAAGTCCATGGGACACAGTCAATTAGGATGTCTTGTTACCATGTTTTTTCCTCATAAGTAATCTAAACAAAATCCATAGTTATACCAATAATTTCTTAAAGTTTCCAGATTAACCTTTTTTTTCCAGTACTTCACCACAGGACACGTGATGAGCCTCCTCAGTCACACTGGTCGTAATAAAACTCATCTGAAACACTGTGTCTGTCCCGAAATGACAACACAGAGATCAAGACTAAATAGGAGACGGAGTTAAGTTGAAAACTTGGTCAGAATTTAAATTTGGATGTTCTTGGAGCTACCAAAGCAAAGGCCTGTGAAGGTGCTGGATGAGGGAAAAATACCTGGTTTGCCTTCTGTGTCTGGGGCTGGAAGAACTCTGGTTAGGTG